CAGGGGTAGTGGGAGTAAGATTTGAGGGGTTTTGGTGAGTGATGATCGTTAAAGAGATTGATGTTGGTGTGAGGTTGTAACGATGTTGGAATCGATTGACAATTGTTGGGGTCGGTGGGAAAGTGTCATTAAAAGTACTTTTTTGGGATGAGAAAGTGACATTTTAAAAGTCTATGGGTGGAAAATATCATTAAACTATTATTTGGTGGGAAAAAGTGGTTTACTCTAGTATTCCAATAGTTTTTCCACTAAATGGCAGTCACACAATTATGATGTACTTTTCTGCTTTTGGGCCTTGCTTTTCTGTTTCTGAAGGCGTTCTTCTATATAGTTTTGGGGAAAAGTTTTTACAGTCCTCATCTTTTATCTCTTCAGCTCCCATCTCCTAATTTAAGTGAGAATATATTTGTAATGAAATATATATTCTTCTTCTTCCATTGTTCATCCAAAGCTTTATATTCGTAGCCATCAAATAATCAAAATAAATTTAGGTAAGTTAGAATTCACAATTTCATGATTAAATTAAAACTCTTAAGTGATTACCAAATTTAGTTCATGTTTCTCCTCTCCTACAAGAATTAACTTCTGGCTCTCATATCTTTCTAGACCTAAAGTAAACAAATGTAAATCAGTCATAATGTTTTTATTTTTTAACATGGAAGCATTTGGTTCTTATATGAGCTCTTAAGTCCTTTTCTTCTTTTCTAGGTTTTATATTTTGAAGTAAAACTACGACAAAGCACAAACTATTAATCATGAAACGAAATGAATTAACTAAACATTATAACCTAAATATTGCTTGAAAAACTCGAATCAAACAAAACCTTTATGTGAGTAATTTTTGAAGTGTTTCTAAAGTCGACAACTTTATGTCTACACGTTGTATTATGAAAATAGAAGACGACAAAAGGTTTTATATCTTGAGCAAATGATGAACATTTACTTAAATTATTCCAAAAGAAATTTTGAATATGTATAGAAGCCAGTGTTATTAATTTTTTTAACTACTATTTTACCCTTAGCTAAATGGAAAATGGGAGCTTTTGAATCAAAAGGTAGGGACTAAATATCATTTACCATCTGTTTTTAGGTATTCTTTTAGATACTTGTAACTATATACAAGGGCTGTGATATGGGCCCTCCCAGTGTTTTTGTAACTACACAACTAAAATTATTAAAGAATCTTTTTTGGGTTAATACAATTTATGCTGTAGTAAAATTTGTTGAAAAAAATTTCCACAACTCAAACGTAAAATTAAAGCAAGCAACTAAAAATAAAACAAACAAAACACTAGAATTTTAAAGTAGTTCAGCCTAATCAATTTAGCAGACGTCTACTATCCACTAAACAAAAGCTTACAACTATGCAATTTTAAGAAGAGAAAAATTGTAAACTCCTTACACTATCCCAAAAAGTCGAATTACACCCTTAATAATAGCCCATAATGACTATTCTTTTGGTGTCTATTTTATACCCTTTCAGATACTTTAAAAGCTCAATCTATTAGTCTATTTAAATGGGAGAGTCCCCTTACAAATCTCATTCCCAAGCAATATGGGATTCAAGGCACAATCTCAACAATTCCTCCATTGACTTGAATCCCCAAACATCATGGTAGCATATGAAAATCTTACTTGATTAACAATCTTCTTTTCTTTCACAACAAGAATTGGAACAACTTTATCTCTTGATTTCTTAAGACACAGACCTTCATCAAACAAATATAGTTGTTTTTCATTCCTTTTGCCCTGCAAAAATAAGAACATCATCTTTATACACTTCACATCCATCTCTTTAACCAATGTAGATATATCCACGAGAAGCCAACTCACCCAAAGAAATCAAATTGTAACTACAACTCAGTACATACCTCACATGACGAAGCTTCTTGACAATACCATTGTGAAGCTTGAGACGAACGCTACCAACGCCTTCAATCTTCACTTTCTCGTTATTACTGACAACAATATTTCCATAATTTCCATCTTCTTTCAATTCAACAAAACAATCTTTATCATTACAAACATTCATAGATGCAATAGAATCTAAAACTCAACCTTTGTCACCCTTTGAAGTTTGAGTTTCATCTTGACATGTTACTAAAATTTCATCTTCATTATAAGCAACCCAAGCATCATCCTTCGAATCCTTCATCTATTGAGCCTTCCTGAAAGCAAGCATATCCTCCCTTAATTTCTTGCAGCGTGGTTGGATATGTCCATTCTCTCCACAATAACAACACTCTTTATTACTGTAATCTTAGACTTTTGATTTATCACCTCTCTCTTGAGTCCTCCCTCGATTAGAACCTTCTGCAACTAGTAGATCTCCTCTAATTGATGAGTTTTCTGATCCCATAAACCTTTCATTCTCACGCAACAAGGCAGTCACATCATCTAATTTTAAAGTAGATCTACCTACCAACAAAGTTTGAACAAATGGTCTATAATATTTAGGCAAAGATGACAACAATATCAATGCCTTTTCTTCATCCTTTAACTCATCAGAAATAGCCAACAATTGAGATATTAGCCTATTAAATTCATTTAAATGAGCATGGAGACTCGTACCTTCATCCATCTTCAAAGAATACAGATCCATCTTCAAACACAATTTGTTAGTCAACGACTTCGAAGCATAAATACCCTCTAATTTTTCCCACAAACCCTTTGGTGTAGACTCAGTCAGCACGCTGTACTTTATCTTTGGAGCTAAAGCCAATCTGATTGTACTGACATCTCTCCTCTGAATTCTATTTCATTCTCTATCAGACATCTTCTTTGGCTTACTCTCTTCTAATGCTTGATCATGACGTTGTTGTACCAAAAGGTCTTGTATCGTACTTTGCCATAACATAAAATTAATTTTACCATCAAATAAAGGAACCTCAAACCTAGACATACCTCCAGAAAATTTGAGATGCTTGATAATCACTGATCTACTCTTAAATCCAACCTCCTCTCGAGCTTGCCTTCTCCCATATCATGAACTTGACTCTGATACCACTTGTTGAAAAAGATTCCCACAACTCAAACGTAAAATTAAAGCAAACAACTAAAAATAAAACAAACCAAACATAAGAATTTTAAAGTGGTTCAGCCCAATCAATTTAGCCTATGTCCACTAGTCACTCAAACAATCCACTAAACAAAAGCTTACAACTATGCAATTTTTAGAAGAGAAAAATTACAAACTCCTTACACTATCCAAAAAAGTTCAATTACACATTTAATAATAGCTCATAATGACTATTCTTTTAGTGTCGATTTTACACTTTTTGTGATACTTTAAAAGTTCAATCTATTAGTCTATTTAAAAGGGAGAGTCCTCTTGCAACTCCCATTCCCAATCAATATAAAATTCAAGGCATAATCCCAACAAAATTAGATGAATAGAACAATGACATATTAACAGCTTAAACACTTTAGGAAAGATGGTTTAATAATTTTAGTTTACATATTTCTTGTTAATCTATGGATAAATGCTGGTGTTTTATCTCAATCATATTTCTGTGTACATTTCCATTGATGCTTTAATTCCTTTCATATCATTGGTTACTGTGGTCAGATATGTAGGATTGCTTGCGAAAAAGTCGATTCAGTTACTATCATGAATTTTCTTTGTATTCGATTACCTTCAGCTCAGTAACTAGGAAATTTACGCTATATTATACATGACTTGCCTTTTGTGTTATCTGCCAAGGCAGGACAAGGCCAACTCACTACCGCGATCTTTTAGATGAGAATGGTTTTTCAGCTGACGAACTACAGGAATTGGTTCATTCTCTTTGCTGTATGTAAGTTAATCTTGGCCATGCTTCAGCGTCTATAGGTGTTTAACTGCAATCAATGTTCTAATTTATGTGAATTTTGTAGTTTCCAGAGAAGCACAACTGCAATATCTACTGGTAATGCCTCTTGTCCTTTACATTTTGAATGTTGGAATATGGATGAAAACTGGTAGAAAACAATAAGTTGGTAGACTACTTAGCAATATTGATTAGAACTTATAATGATAGGAACCCAGATGGAGGAGAGGCTGGGGAGGATGAAGAAGCAGGAAGATATCCTACAAGGGCTCGGCAAGCTCCTGCATGGGCAAAGGATTATCGCATGGGGCGTTGAGCAGCAGAGTTATTTTATGTTATTGTCATTAGTTTTGGTTAATAGACGTTATTATTCTTTATTTTGGGCATTAGTTGGATTATTAAGACTTTATTATTTTATGGTTATTTATATTGCTTGATGATAATAAGAGAGGCATGCAAGAATTACCGCAACTCTTCTCTCTCGCTGTTCTCTATCTCTCTCTCAATTGCTTTGGAGGTACTACTCCCTCATATAGAATAGATTATCCCATCATATAACTTGTAGACTTCACTTATCATATGTTGAAGCTTGCATTGTTGTTCTTGCAGTTGCTCCCATTCACTAAGCCCAGTTGGCAGCTTCTCAGGTTTCGCAATTCATGAAGTTTGATGAGATGTCGGGTAAATCGTCGAGTCAAGGAGGTTTGATAGCTTCTGGAGATTCCCTGTTATCTGAGCTAACAGTATTGCATGATAACGTACGCAGGTCCATGTTTTTCTTCTGAATACGGTGAAACTCCTAATGAGACTAACATCTTAGTTAGCCTAGTATTACCAAGTTAAGGGTCGCGGTATTTTGTATATGGCATTATTATGCTTATGCTGACAATAGAGACTTAAGTATATGTTTGGTAGATGTTGAATACAATCATCTTGGTTTTTAATTATAGGTAGAAAGACTTCTACTAACCTATTTCCAGTAAAGCTCGGCTGATTTATGATCCAACTTTAGTTACTGCTTGGGCAAAACGGCATGCACGTCCTCTGGGGTACGCGAAGCTTTTAGTTGTAATGATAGGATGAACATCTTTAGAAAAGATTATGGCAAACAGTTTTAAAAGAAAATAATAATATCTTTTGCACTTCAAAAGTTTGAAGTGTAAGTCAAAAGAAAATGTAGATACAGGGAGATCAGCTGCATTAGTAACAAGACAGCTCTGGTGGGATAAGTTGGCCTGAGCAACGAGTGTTTAACTAGTTGTTGGAAAACAAGTTTGGTTAGGGTGTAAGCAAATAAGAGTAACACCAATGCAACATACATCACTCTAAATTTTTATGTCAGAAAAGGGCTGAGCTTGTTCGCCGGAGATGATACTTGGGCTCTGGAGGCGGTGCACATTGCAAGAACTCCACTGCCTGCACAAGAAAATTAATGCAATGAGAAAAAGTCCTTTCCACTTACAATTTTGAGTGTGAAATGAAGCGACTGAAGTTCATTTTCAACAGAGACAAGTTTGATCCATTTTTGTGTTCATATTCCTAATAATAGTAAAGACTATGAATCAAGATTGGGTGTTATGGATTCAATCAACAAAATGGTCAACTGAAATATGTACAAGACCATCTATTTAAATAACAACCACTTCTCATATGATGTGGACAAAACCATTCTCACAGGCAAAACCAAAAATAAAAATACAGATATGGGACAAAGTTGAGAATTCAAACCCAGAAATAACAAATACTGATACGTGACATGTTAAGAATTCAAACTCAAGACCTGCACATTGGTACCATGTTAATAAATCACTAAGCCTAAAAGATTAAGTTTTCAAGTATAAGATAACTTCAATGTCTCATTATTTTCGATGAAATAACAAAAGAACAATTGTTTAATTTTAGTTATAGGTGAAGCATTAATTTATACTTTTATGATACTAAATTTCCAGAAATCAAATAGCATTGGGGAAAATATAAAGGTAGACAGCAGCAGAGCAATTTTTCAAAACTTATTAACTGGGGTAAATGTCTTCAGGCCTCTTTTAGTACTTCAATGCCACTACCAACATCAAAAGTTGAGACGTAAATGGCACTTTGACTACAAAGACAAATCCTTATCAATGTGGAAGAATAACTCTATAATGTAGATCACATTCTGCAATGAAGTACCAAAAGAAATAGTATTGATATGTTATGTATCCTGAGCATGTAATGTCCTTTGTCAAACCTATTAGAATCACGCTGAAGTAAAGCTTTAGATCTCAATTTATGGAGCTATCTCCCTCGAAAGAGAACCATTAGGATATAACAAAGGCTTTAATCATCACTATATTGGAAGAGTTATCTAGTTCAATTTCTCAAAGTTGGAATACTTTGAGGGAGATAACTATCTAAACACTCCTCGTGCCCAAAAATCTGCAGAAAGTGTTTAAACAATTAGAAATTGTCTACAATTTTACAAGATTCACAAAGCCTTCTTCATCATTGTTTTAACAATCTTATCTATGCCTTGCCAATTCGCAACAATTGTCATTTCAATCTCCCACACGCATCAACAACAGGATGAACCTGAACATAACTTTTTTCTACACGAACTATGCTCATAAAACACTATACTTATGGTATGACTACCCTGAAAGAAAATTAACGAGTTCTATAGAAAAGTTCATACTTCCAACTCTTAAATAACTTAAAGGAGATTAACAGTAGAATGTCCAAGTAAAACAAAGACATATGCGCACCCTTTAGAGTTAGCTGACCTGAGTAGTTTCATTATTCATAGCACGCATACTTCCATCTAAGTAACATGGTCAAGCACACATTGTTTTGTGGACTGAATCAATCAATCATCACAAAAACTTAAATTGAATGCCCTAATCTGTGAGTTGTATCAAAAAAGGATTTAAAGAAATGAAAACTAAGCGAACCTTAAAAAACAGGAGAAGTTTTAACAGACATCACCAGCAAATTTTTAAAACACAGACCTCAAAGATACAGTTTTCCATGTATAATTGTAAATTTACTGAATCAGCATGCACTAGCTGAGAGTCAAGAAGGGAGAAATTTTCAAAAAAGGAAAAAATTATTGAAGTTAAAAGAAAACTACATGAAAATTGCTTTCCCAAAATTCTGTATTTTTTATTATCATTATTGTTCTAAGTTATACTAATTCTACAACATCACACTCTAGAAGACATCTCAAGACGAATACCTACAAGTTTGAGACCAACTTGACTCTAGTTTGGGACCAATATATATCATAGCTGAATTACAGGAAAATCCCAGTCCTTAGACTAGAAATAAGTTTCTCAGTCTCTTAGCACTCACCAAATAGATCCCATATCATCTGAAGACAATATCATCATACAGAAGATGATGAAGGACAATATCGCAAGACATTATTTCCCTTAGATTAGGCTTCATCTTTGGTCAAACTGTATCATTCATGACAAACTAGAGTCTGGTCAGAGTGAGATTGCTCCTATTAACTGATTTAATTTCATCCATCAAATCAACCAAGCTTGCTGTATGAGAGTCATCTAGGTCATATTTGCAAGTATTTGGAGACACTACCAATCCAACATGTCAGACAACAGATATATACTCCAATCCTCATAATGAACAATGGAGCTGCTATTGATGAACTAATCTGATAACTGTACAAGTTAGATATTTCAACTATTTTTAATTGGAATTAATCCTGAAAAAGAATTGCATTTATTACATTCAAATAATTATTAAACTGGTAGATAGCATCAAAGATGATACCAACAAGAAATCACTAGCAAGAATGAATAATAACAGAGTAGCCAGGGAAAAGAAGGCAAAGCATACCCTTTGTTTCCTGAGTCTTTCATTCTCCTCCTCTAGTTGTGAGACTTTGTTCTCTAATTCATGAGTATAAGCCTGACAATCAATAGATCTTTTAACCGACGCCAAGAAAAGAACAACAATAACTAAACAGGATTCAGCAAACAAAAGAAAGCAACATTCAAGTTCTACCTGCTTCCTTGCTCGTGATCGGGCTGCAGACTCCCTATTTTTAATCATTCTTTTTTGCCTCCTTTCCACAGTCTTTTCAGCAACATCTCCAGAGGCAACCCTTTTTCTCCCTGGTGTTTGTGTATCAGATAGTGTACCCATCAAAGAGGATGGCGACATGGTCAACTGGTTTTCAGGATATGCTGCATCCAAATTCGGATTAGCGATGACAGGAAGAGATTGCTGCATAGGGTGGTTCGGCACTAGAACAGCCATCAGATTCTGCTGTGGCTGTGGCTGTGGCTGTGGCTGTGGCTGTGGTCGCACTGAAGGGAGCTGGTACTGCATCCATTGAGCATGCTGCGCAATATTTTGCTGGTTCGCCGCAATATGATCAATCTCCAAAACATAATTACCATTCTTTTCAACTGGATTAGTAGATTCAGTAGCCACCCCAGCTTTTACCAAGAAGTCCTCAAGTGTCATCTCACCAAAAGTAGCCTGTCTTTCCTGAGCTTTTCTCTCTTGATTATTGTCACTCTTCTTCTGATTAATATCTCTCCACACCTCCTCAACAGTCTTCTTGCTAAGATCCCTGGACAATGTCAGGCTCCCTTGCCTATGCAGAGAGGAGCCTGAGGCAGCGCCACATACATTGTCAATGGTGGTTTCTGTAACCAGATTAGCTTCAGCGGTACACACACTCTTGAGAAGCTCATCAAGATTCATACTTCCCAGTGGTTTCCCCACATCCCCCAACTGGGTTTGAATCTCATCGAGTGTAAGGCTATACAATGAGCCTTGTCTGGTCAATGACTGCAACTTCGCTTCTTGAGCTGCACCACCTTCAGATCCCATTGTATGTGTCCCCATTCACCACCAAATATCTATATATCTATCATTCTGAAGCCAACACAACAGTAACATGAAGAACTAACATATTCTACTTGCAGAAGGTAGGACTAAAAATTTATGCAAAATAGAAACTCAAGACTAAAAACAAACTATCCATCAAATAATAAAAATGTCAAAACCCCATATGCCCAAAAACCAAAAGTCTATATCAAACAAAACAATCTCAGCAAGAAACAGTAATAATATTCAAAACCAATAAAACAATCAGAACAAAACCACCAAATATTTAAGAAAAAGACTATTTAAGAATCAACTAAAATAAAACAAGAACCAAAGAGGAACACAATCCCTTCAAGCCATTTTGCATGGAACCAAAACAAACATTCTCCACAAAAGAACAAATACTAAAACATAGATAAGCCTACATTCTCCGCAAGAACTAAGAATAAATAAATAGTAAAAACAAGAAAATGTCCCAAAAAGAAAGAATATGTATTAGAGAGGCAAGAAGCTTAAGCTGAGTCTGACTGAAGCAATTAAAACAAAATCTAATAAGTAGGTGGGCATTAACTTACTGGCCGCAGGATCCGATCTGAATCTATGAAAGTGACATTTGTTGTTTTGGCAGTGGGGACACACACTTCGAAGCTTAAAAGAAAAAGAAAACAGCCTACATTCCCATAATCCCATTACCAACTTTCTCTTTATTTTTTAACTATTTTTTGAAACTTCACACTACACTACTGCCTAGGTTTCTTTCTGGCACTAGTGCTTCTATATATTATTTTTTTGGCAAGTTTCAGTTTCATAAAATAGTCAAGTGGAAGTGTAAGTGAAAGTGACTGCCTTTTTCTCTTCTTCTTCTTCGCCCTCGTGCATAGAAAACAAAAGAATTGTAGTACAAATTTCATTAAAAAGTGTCCACTTCCCACTCTTTTTGGTGAGTTTTTAGACCAAATTATACTCTTTTTTCACTTTTAAATTACACATTAAGTTTATTGTTTTAATATCTCCAGTTAAGATTTTTAACGGTAACTAAAGAGGATGAAAGTTGATTGATATGTCAAAAAAATTTTAGATAAGGAGCAATTCATGTTGTTTGACAAAGTGATATTTATAATATTGTCCTTATTAGTTGAAAGATTTTACCTCCCGCTAAAAAAATATATGGCCATTTTGTCTTTTCATATTTATACATGTTAATATAAAATAAAAGTTGGGTTATTAATTAAAAAATAACTAATTTTGTAAAAGCTATATTCCTTGGAGTCAATTATGTTCATGTTCTCATCACTTAAACATATTCATGCTTTTATTTGCTCGACATGCTTATATAACATACTTTTGTTTTACCTAACATATGAAAGATTGAATGATCTAAGAGGGGGTCATTTAGCCTTTTTAAACATCCTAAGGTCAATATTTGCTATAAGCTCAAATTAAAAAACTTTTGTCACTTATGGCTTTTCTAATGCAATTAATGAATATGACAAGTATTAAGACAACCAATTAAGCACAAATACAAGTAAAACTTGCATAAAAGTAAAGAGTTAAGGGATGAGAAAAGCAAACGCGCCATGTATAGTGATTTGGCCCAAAACTGCATACGGCCACTCCTCCAATCTCTTCTCATGGTTGTCAAACCCCAACCAAATAGTTTTCTAATTTACAAATGGCTTTCAAGGTTCTATTGAACCTTTACATCTGTATGAATCACTTTCTCACACTAGATATGCCTAGAAACTCAAGAGTGAATCTCACTCTTTTATAACTCTAATTTTGATTAATATAACAGTAAAATAACTCTTTCACATAGTAGATACACATTTTTGTTTTTTTTTTTTGCTCAATACAAACCAATCTATAATAAATAAAGTTAATGTGTAGTAAGGGTTTGTGTTAGAATATGAAATTTGTCAGTGAAAGCTTTAAAGGATTGTTTGATTGCTTTTCAATATTATGGTTAGATAGAAAATCATGTTTTAATCATTTCGATATGATGGTATCGTCATACTGGCTTCGACGATGGTGGCCGGTGATGATGTACAGCGACGATCAACTGAAACTTTGACCATTTTGTTGGCTTTGTTGGGACTAGCAATTTCCCTATGGACTCGCTGACACGTGAACACTATGGGAAGACCCGTTTCTATGGTATCGGTGTTTAATCGCACCAACTCGTTTATGTGCTTACATGTTCATTGCAAAACCTCTCATGCCCGCCGGCGTTAACTGTGGGACTTCGTGCTATCATTAATGGAATATGAAAATAAAGTTGCACCATGACGAATAGCCTAAGCTTTCGGCTTAGTAGTAAACACTTGATCCTAACACATTTAACCTTTAATGTTTTAAACCACTCTTTTCATATCACATGCCTTGTATAATACACTCTTTTTACATAACCTAGAATTTCTTCTAATCACTTTTATATTTATAGATACATATAAAACATTTTATCTCTTCATATTCCTTATATACCTCTTTTAAACAATTTGTTAAACTTGAGTTAAAATATCTCAACACATCATCTTATATTTATAATATTTAATAACATTATCCTTTTATTTTAGTTATCATTAATTTCGAACACTACAAAATTTAACACATTTTTATTCATTCTAATTACTAGTAAAAAAACAAGTTAAAAGGATCTTAACACCTCATCTCAATATCCCAACAATCTCATATTTATTCTATTTAATAACATGTTTCTTGTGTGGGATCTATGCTCTAAGCCCTATTTTAAAATGATTAATTTCAAATATTATAAGATTTAATAGTGAAATGATTATACATAAACTTATGGGGATGATAATGTAAGAAAAAAAATTAGTGGGATATAGTAGTCCTCCCTCCCAAACAAATATTGAAGGGAAATGGACAAACTCATTCAAAAGCACATGATATGTTATGCATGCATGAGCATGAGGATCCGCGTGGGCGTTGCACCGAGGTGTGGTGCACGTGCATTTGCTTAGTATTTATTTACCTTTAATTAATTTAACTTAAGAGCCCTTGGTTGCTGTGATCTCCAGCTTTATCACTCCCCCAATTCCCTACACCACCCTAACTATTAATTAATTACAAAGTTATATCATGAGGTAATTACAATTTCACCCCTAGGATTTGGTCAAGTTTAATAGATTTTTTTTTTCAGTAAATTGTAGTCTCAATTACCTTCTATAAAATGGGGTAAGAGTATTTTTATCTTAATGATCAAAATTGAAATTTTTCCATCATTCATATTACAAATAATAACCATAACATGAATTCATTAGTATTTGTCATATAATTATAAATGATGCATCATGATTTTGGAAATTTTTTTTTTTTTTTTTTTTTTCTTCTATTTCATTTTTGAAATGTCTATTTTATCCTTTTCTCCATCAACCTAGTAGCTTCAGTCTTAACGGTAGCTAATTATCTGTTTTCTGGGTCTCGAGGGAGTGCTTCATTAACCATAGTTTAAATAAGAATAGAAATATATATATTTGAACTCTTCTAATTTATCAGCCAAATTTTTTGTTCTATTTCTATTGAGAGATATCTATATTACAGAAATGTTATTCAATTTTCATTTGACATGTATACCAAAAACAAAGAAAATAGAAAGTAAAATAATCTTGTTATCTCTCATTTTTTTCGTCTTTTATGCACGTATCAAGTAGAGTAAACGAGGGAGGGATAATAAAAAAAAAAAAGATAAAAAAGATAGTATTCCCTTTTACTTGAATCCTTTAATTTATTTTATACCAAGTTAATTAATTGTTAAGTCATTATTTCAAAATGACCATATTGCCCTTTCATTAATGAGGGATTTATCCTAAAGAGAGTTTGTACAAATAACTTTGGGTGCGTTTATTTAGTTATTTTGAGTATTATTTTTGAAATATTATTTTAAAGTTGAGTTAGGTTATTATTTTGAAAATAAGATTTGAAAAAAATGTATTTGGTAGAGTATTTAATTGGGTTATTATTACGAGAATATGATTTGATATTTGGTAAAATATTTAGGATAGTATATTAGAGTTGAATAAATTGTAGAAACTGGTGGCAGATCTCGAGTTCTAGGGGCCAATGATGGCGCTCGAAATTGGTGGCCTGGGGTTGGAGGAGGGTGGCCCAAGGTGGTCCGAAGAACTCGAAAATGGTGGTCAGTGATCGTGGTTGTACCTACTAGTCCCAGTTTGTCGGAGAAAACCGAAAGATAGTGGTGTTTCTTGAGTCTTAAAAAGCGGAAGAAGGTGTTTTTGAATGCATGTGGAAGAGGGTGTTATGGGGTGGTTGTAACTTGGAAGAGGGTGGCGGTTTCTGTTGTAATATTTGAAGAAATTTGGAAGAGGGTGACAATCGCTCGTTCTAATCTTTGAAGAAGAAGGTGAAAACTGTGGTATACGAAGGTAGAAGCCGTAGATACACTGAAGAAGGAGAAAAAAGAAGAAAGAAGGAAAAATAAATAAATAAATATACTGTAACGCCACCTAAATCAGATTAGTGAGGAATCAAATTGTCAAAACTTGATTCCCTAAATAATGTGCCAAATGCTCATTTTAAAAATCTGACTAAAAAAATTAAATAGAATAGTGAATCAAACACGTTTTTTACTCTTTATCCTATATTTACCTTTAATCAATGATTTGCTAATTAATTAATAATTTTACTACTATTTGATTGAGTATTCCTCCTACAATACTATTTGAATGAATAATTAATTAAGATTAAATTCATAAAATCTTACATCAAACTTATAAAAAAAAAAAAAACTAAAATTATATTTAATTATTTGAATATTTAATTAAAACATTTTAGAAGGAAAATAAAACCTCTATCTAACCACAACCAATAAGTTTTTGTAAGATTAAAAAATAAAGAAAAATAATCTCTCCGAATATCATAATTCTGTTCATTGTCATAATTTTTTTTTTTTTTTTTCTGTTAATGTGGTTAATTTTTAGAATGAAACTTTATGAACCCTTTTGGTAGGGGTGAGCGGTTCTGGGTACCCTGTATTTTTTTGGAGAACCAAAACCGAAACCACACAGGACAGGTTTCTAAAAAGGAACCAGAACCGCACAATGTAGGTTCTT